GGTTTCAAAATGCAGCTGTTCTCCCTGCTACAGCGACACATCTCTAAGGACCATTATAAAGCTCTCCTCACCTTTAGGATATTACAACTGCCATACATTCCAGACCCACCCTCTTTGCTTCAGTCTCCAACTTCTTCCTCCTCCTCCTTCAAAGCTTCTCTTTTTAAAGATATAGATAACAAGTGATGAGACACAATCTTTTCTGGTTTCTGAGTTGGTGGTGGAGTGGCTCACACTAAAACCATCTAAACAACCGGTCTGTAGCTTTCTCAGAAAGACAAGCTGGGAAATTCAGCAGCTCTCTCTCTTCTGCTACAACCCATAACTGTATATAGAGCCTTCAGCACATACTGGCACATTTTACTTGGAACCAGATCCTAAACTAGCTGGAAAGTCTCTAGGATTAACACACATACTCCAGAAAACATAATTCTGAGTTTCTAAGCACCATCTATTTTTCACTGTAAATAGAAAATAGTAGTGTCTGGGTTTTGCCTTTGGTGTCAAAACAGTTAAAATTACAGAATAGTTCAGGCTGGAAGGAACCTCTAGATGTCACTTGGTCCAACCTCCTCCTTTAAAAAAAAAAAAAAGAAAAATACACCAAAACAAATCTTACTTCATCCCTGTTTTTTCCTCTGTCAACAATTGACTCTAGTATTTTGGTATTGTTCACTTTTTTCCTCCCTTAATATCTTAATGAGTCTCTTCAGCCAAGGAGTTTCCCTAAAATACATGAGTTTGTCTATACATGATAACTCCCATGGTCTTCTCTTATCTTCCATGTTTCATGTTTAGCTGTCCTCCCTTTCACTGGTTTATCAGCTGTCAGCACCAAAATATTCTTCCATCATTTTTTAGCTCTTCTGAAAGGAACAACCCCAACAGAGGGATGTGTTAGAAACACCATTCACCAGGATATATACAGAGGTGGCATTTAAAGAAAACTTTTAACTGCCTACACATCTGTATTCTGACATACAGAAAATAGCTGAAAGCTGTAGGTTTATATTTACAGCTCAGAAAACCTAGGTATGAAGATAATTAAATTAGTTACAAACATACATAAATAACACCATTCATAGCATGAACTCTACTAGTAGGGCCTGTAGCAATAGGACAAGGGACAATGGTTTTAAACTAAAAGAGAGTAGATTCAGGCTAGATTTAAGGAAGAAATTTTTATGATGAGCATGGGGAAACACTGGAACAGGTTGGCAAGAGAGGTGGTAGATGCCCCATCCCTGAAAACATTCAAGGCCAGGTTGGACAGGGCTCTGAGAAACCTGATCTAGTGGAAGATGGCCCTGCTCATTGCAGGGCAGTTGGACTACATGACCTTTAAAGGTTCCTTCCAACCCAAACTATTCTGTGATTCTGTAATTTCATATTCCCTAATATTTCAGAATATTACAACCAAATTCAGTTCACATTACCTGGCATCTCATTATGCAATGTTCTCATCTCACTAGCCTTCTTACATCTGGAGTTTCTGTATTTATCAACAAAGCCATGTTTTGAAACTGCCAAAAATCCAACATCCTATACAGTGCCTGAGCATGTTTACCTTCATTTGTATATAGTACCTGTTGCTGCTTCTTTTGAGATCTTGAACCTTTATATTGTAAATTCAACTCAAAAGAAAAAAAAAAAAAAAAAAAAGCAGGCATTTACTTTAATATTCCACTGGGAAGGATTTATTTATTTATTTTAATCTCATTAAACTCAGCTTAAGAAAGAAACAGAAGCCTGAAGGAAATTCTTGGAGAAATTCCTTATAGAAGTACAGTTGCCCAGAGTAACATATTCCATGAAAAATATCTATAGAAGCTTCTGCCTTTTACCACATCAACACAGTCAAAAGCTTCAAAACCAGCAAGCATTTAGTTATAAGGGAAAAAAAAAAAAAAAAAAAAAAAAAAAAAAAAAAAAAGAGAGCTTTCCAGTTTTAATCATCACATATACCAGAAATCCCTGGGAACTGTTTGGATTGCTCAGTGTTTTTAAAAAAATATTAGAAAAGACAAAAAGACATGGGTAATGGACAATTATTTTCTACTCTATATATGAGGCATAAGGGTTAATTAAACCATTAGGACATGCTCACTGTATACATACATACACATTAAAAATACAGAGACACACACACACACCCCCTTTCATCAATGAAGCGCTGGCCATTCCCTTCCTGTCTCCCACTGCAATACCAGTATCAGTGACAGCAGGATCTCCAGCATGACACAGAAAGGCTAACCTGGAGAAATAGTGTCCCTTAAGAAACACAACTCTCCTGAGACAAATCAGCATGGTATAGAAGCATAAATTCTCATGAATCTAAAGGATTACATAAAAAAAAAAAAAAAAAAAAAAATGCCAGAGAAAATCCATGCTGATATCTCATGTATTTGGCAAAACAAGAACAAAACCATTCACTTCTGTCATGCTGAGAAGTCCAATGGTAGATCCTAACTCAGAACATGTGCGGCAGCAAGGCGCAGACACAAATACGTATCCCACACACAGACACGTGCTGAAGGAAAGTGAAGCAGTACATTAACACCCTCTGCCTTCAGCTCCAGCGTGGATTGAAGGAAGAAGCGGCAAAGGAGAGCAGCCCCATCTCCAGCAGCACTTGCAATAGAGCATGAGGCGGGGGACTCCTCTACTGAAGAAGTCACAAGGCTTTATCTTTCCACAGCCACGGTGGCTTTGCAGTAAGGTCTGAATGGCTACCCAGTTGCACAGCAACTCTAATGCCTGTGAGCAAAGTTATGGTTTTGATGATTGCATAAAAAACACATCCAAGTGTATAAACATACAGGGAGAGTACAGCCCTTCAACACTAGCACTTGGAAAAAAAAAAAAAAAAAAAATCCACACTTGTTTCTCCAAGTACACAAACCAGTGTTTTCTTATTCCTGGGTGGAACTGAAGCAAACTAAAGACTAGAAAATCTGCAACAAAAACTTGGAGCATCACAGAGCTTTATGAATAAGCAGCCAGAATGGGCCAAGAACAAAAAAGGGCCAATAATAAGAAAACTTGCTAACAAGACCCCTAACAGTATAGCTCACAACCACTATGGGGGATCTGGGAGTGTAATAGCAAACTAATAGAAAGTGGAAGACATGAGCTTGAGGAGCTACAGTACAATGAAATGTACCTCTTCCAGCCCTCAGCAGCAAGGGAAAATGTTTAGTCACAAATCCTGCAATAATTTGTTTTTCCAGATGAACATCCTGCCATTTACTTGCACAAGAAAGGTAATTTAAATATAAACCTCCTTAGGGTATTTTAAATAATACGTGTTGTACACATCTCTTGCTAATTTATCTAAAATGGAGAGAAAATACAAAGTAGTCCTCCTCTTGTGTAGTTTTTAAACAAAAAAAAACAATAATTCTAAAACCCATTTATTATATATAAAGCTAAATGTTTCATTAAACTTATAAGATACTGTGATCTTAACAACCACATCTGCTTAACCTCTAAAGGTCAAGGTCATGACATTTATACCAAGATTTAAAAAGTCTAATTGTAGTATCTACAGCTACATGGACAGCAGCTGGTTATTAGAAAAGAACTATTATAAACCAAACACAATTATATTATACAGAAACCATCAGATATTTGATGAGATTTTAGTCTTAGAGCTGGTATCATTCTGCAAGTTAATCATCTGGAGAACAGAAAATCTGTTAGGAATGCAATTAAATGTACCAGTTCCATTAAAATTGAGCTGATATAGTTAATTGTAGTCTTTAAATAGCTATTTCCTCACACCTTCACTAAGCAATTATTTTTTCATCTACTGAGTAAGACTCTATTTAAGGAACACTTTTCACTTAAACTCTCTAATAAGATTTGTGAATACTTCTGTTCTGTTACGTTACCCCATACAAGTTGCACTGCAGTTTGCTGTTCGACCTTGGATTCCTAATTCACTCCGAGATGTACAGCAAGGTCTTTTGTTTCAGTTACTATTAGCCTGTAGTATCTGCATTGCTGAAGCTTTGGGGAAGGATACCAACAATGTAGCCTTGCAGCACGCTAAAGCAGTTATAAAATAAAACGAAGGGAGGGTCCAATGGCGAAACCCAGGTCAGATGGTCGTTTTAAGCATCAGCACTCCTGACAAACAGATGATTTCCAAACAACTGTTTTAATGAATCCGTATGTATTCAAAAGTACTCGCAAGGGGTTTGCAGCATTGCTAGCAAATTGGGAATACAGGCCATTGCTGCCCTTTTTTTTTTTTTCTTGAGACAGGATGAAAACAAAAAGGCATCCTAAGAGAGCAGCAACTTAGCAATATCCGATCCACAATTCATTCTCCCAGACCAGACAGTTTATCGGGGCATTTTAAACCGCTCTGCGCGGGAGGCGTTAAAAAGCGCGGCTCCGGGGAGCGGAGCCGGGGCCGGGGCCGGCACCGCCGCGCGCGGCCCGGATGCCGTTACGTAACCGTAACCGTAACCGTAACCGTAACCCCGGGCCGCCGCCGGGGCCGGATGCTCCGGCCTCGCCCCGGGCCCGGCCGCTGCAGCCCCCGCCGGGGCGGCCGCAGCCCCCGCACCCGGCCCGCCGCCACCGCGCCCCGGCCGTGCCGCGCAGCCCCCCGGGGGGCCCGGCTCCGCCGCGCAGCGCGACCCGGCACGGCACGGCCCCGCCGCTCCCCGGCACGGCCTGTCCCGCCGCTCCGGCTGCGGGCCCGGGCCTCCGGCCCCCGCGCCCCGCCCGCGCCGCCGCTCAGCGCCCACCTCCTCGCCGGGATCCGCCGCGCATCCCCGCTGCGGCCCGAGAGGCTGCGCCCCGCCGCTCCCGCCCACCGCAGGTCCCCGCCCGTCTGACGGAGGGAGGGAGGGAGGGAGGCGGGAGGGAGGGAGGGAGGGAGGGAGGCGGGCGGGCGGGCGGGCAGCCTCCTCGCTCCGCCGCCGCATCCCGCCGCCCCCCGCCCCTGCCCGCCGGCCAAGGTGCCCTCCGCGCCGACCGGCACCCACCTGCATCAGCGGGCCCGGCCCGGTGACAGGTACCGCGGGGCCGGGCCGGGCTGGGCTGCGCGGAGAGGAGCGGAGCGAGCAGGATGCGCCGTGTTGCTCCCTCCTGCCGAGCGCGGTCGCGGCCCTCTGCGCGCAGCGGCGGGGCTCGGCTCGGCTCGGCTCGGCTCGGCTCGGCTCGGCTCGGCTCGGCTCGGGTCGGCACGACACGGCACCTCGCCGGCCGCTCCCGCAGCCGGGCCCGGTGCGCGAAGCAAAGCCCGGGGTCAGGTTGATGCCGGCGTGTCGGAGAAAAGGGGGCAGCGGCGGGGACCGAGTAACGGACTTCGGTGATGAGATCAGGTCCAGAATTAAACTGGAGAGCACGTGGGCAACAACGGGGATGTTCTCCAGCAAGAGGGACCGCCGTGCCACGGGCGGTGGCGGGCAAAGGGGTGCCGCCGGGACCCCCGGGGGGAAGCGCAGGGCAGCAGAGCGCAGGGCAGCGCTGCCGGCAGCCCCCGCCGCGGCCTTTCCCCACGCTGAGGCGCGATGCCCGGCACTGCACTGCCACCCCCCCCGCACTCCCACTGCGTTTGCTGATTTGGTCTCTGTTATCCAATAATGGGAGGTTGTTGAAAAAAAACACATTACATACTCTTGAAAACTGCCAGAGAAGTTACTCCCTTAGTTTCATCTATATTAACCTTTATTTTTCCTTTTTTTTTTTGTTTTGTGCATCCTCTTGTCACAACTTTCATGACACCCTTGATGGCTGGAAGCTGGGCTGTCCTGTGTAGAGAAGCTACCGAGCAGCAGAGGACAGCTCTGGAGGAGGCAGGTTGCAGACTCACCTGCGTGGTTCACGCCTTGCCTCTGGCACCCTGGTCCTGCTGGAGCCTGGTCACTCCCTGTCCCCAGGGCTTGCGCACTGGCCCGTCCTCAGAGGATGGCTCTCATTTTTGAAAATCAGTGCGGTTGTTATCCAATGACATGAGAATTTTTTTCACTGATTTTTACTCATAATTTATACCACCATGAGAAAAGGTTTGAACACGTTGAGAAAATGTTGAGTAAAAACATAAACACAGGAAAAGAACTATATTCTATTTCATCCATCCAAGAATGTGACCTGTTCTTCTCAAGTTTAGTCTCATTAACAACTGAGAGGAATGTTCTCCAAAAGAAAGTTATAAAACACAGTTCGATTCTTGATGCGAAGACAAAACGTCCACAGGTTAAACCATATATTTCTTTCCACTATTCTGTATAAGACACAAATGTCTTTAAAATGTCCCCTTCTTTAATTCAGGCAGCAAGGAATTTTACTAAATATAATATGAAATGTTTGCTTACCAGCCATACACTGAGGATAAGCACATCTATGAGCATTAAAAAATATTTACAAACAGTCTTAAGAAAATATTTTTATTTTCTCCCGTAGTAGCAACATTGTTGTTTCTTTGCTGTCATTTATTGTTAGGGTTTGTGGGTATTTGGCAAAATAGTACACTTAGGCAAGGCATAGGTAGCAGACACATGTTTTTATTAAAGATTTTTGCAAATTACACTGTGTCTTTTTTGCAAATTAATTCACATTATGCAAAACTGAGAGTACAGCAGTAGTAACTAGTAAAACGGAAATGTTTTGAAGAATGAGCATGGCATACCAAAGAGCATTAAAGAGTGTCTGACAACAAAACAAATTAGACAGAGGGAGAATTCAGGGGGCAGCAGCAGGCTCATAGCAGGCGTGTGCTATAAAGGCAGCAAAAGGCAAGCACCAGTGAGGTGGAAGCTGGGTGCATCTGAGGGTAGGGGAGTGCCAGCAGATGGAGGAGCCATCTCCAGGAATCAGAAAGCACAGCTACCAGCAGGACTGACATCAGGTAACTCTGTTCTGAGTAGGAAACCAGATCAACATCCTCTTTCTTTCACAGATGCTGACCACCCAACACATTATTCGCTTTCTTCTTTGAGTCCTCCTTAGGGCTCAATTACTTAGAATACTTCTGGCCAAGCACTGTTGCACCTAAATAGCCTAAAATTAATCGTGTGAAGACCAAAGATCTTCACAATTTCCTGATGATGCAAAATTACTCATGGTAAGCAAAAAAAGCTGACTCAGAGCAGCTGTAGAAGGACCTGACAATAATGAGACAATTGGTAAAAGTCTATGTCAATAACTGAAAACTAATGTAAACAGTAATGAAAATAACCCTAACTAAACATACATAACAATGGGCTATAATCTAGCCTTTATCATTTGGAGTCATTGTGAGTAGTTTTCCGCAAACACTCGCTTGTTACTCAGCAGTAGTCCAAAAGGCAAACAGTGTTAGCAATTATTCCAAAAGCAGCGGAGAACAAAGCAGATGAGCTCATTACATCCCTATGTAAATCTCTTGCGCACTTGAGTGCTGTGTACAGTTCCGGTTCCTTCATATGAAAATGTGGAACTAGAAAATGCATGTACGCAGCTAAAAGGATGTATGCAGAGGTATGGGAACACATCTGTGCAAGGAGATAATTTCTAGCTGGAGAACAGACTGGGAAAGGATTGTCTTCCGATCTATAAAATCCCAAATGATACGTAGGAGGCCAGCAGGAAACGATCACACACTCTTTTCCATGACACAAGACTTCAGGGAGACTCAGTATACGATCAGGCAGCAGGCTTAAAACAACAGCTGGGAAGAACTTTTCCATACAAAGTGTTATTAAATCAGATGGCTTGCTGCAACATAACACTATGGAGCTGAAGAGGCAGATGTTTTTAAGCAGGGATTATACAAATGAATGAAGGATAGATGTAGCTATTAAGCATAGTAATTTCATTTGCAGTTCTTGCTTAAAAGGTGACTGCCTGTTGCCTGCTGAAAGTTGCCCCCGAAAGGACACTCATTATCTGCCCTGTTTCAATGCTCTCCCTGAGCATCGGTTTCCAGCTGCTACGGAGAGCAGGACACCAGATTAAATGGACCTTTATGTTAGTCCTCTACAGCCATTCAGATGGTTTATTCTTTTCTTTCTGCTCAGTTACGTATGAGGAACCAAGGACAAGCAGCATCTCTAGGTATGAAAGCATATTCCTGCCTTTCCCCGTCTTCCCTGGGAATAAAATCAAATTCTTAGTTCTTGATCTCACCATTTTGGTGTTTTTCCATTCCTCTGAAGAGGATTTGGAAAAACTGGTTTTATCTTCTCAACATTTTGCTCTTCAGTTTCAGTAGTGATAAAACATATGCGCTGGTCTGTTAATTTCAGCATTCTTCTCATTGAAGAATTTCAGAGATGCTTTAAATCTCAAATGACAAGTAAACATCTTACATTAAAAAATCACTATTTCTAGGAGTTTTATTAAGAATATCCCTATTAAATACCAGAAATGAAGAGTCTGAAAAGCAAATCTGAAATGCAGTTTGTCAGAACTCCAAGAATCCCTGAAGACAAACATATGATAAATCAGCTGGAGTGGTTCAATCTCACATAAACAAAATCTGTATGGTTGATATTCTGTATAGCTAGTTATCTCCACTCAAAGGTAAGGAAAAGAGTTCGTTTCATACTTGATTTTGGCAATGGATAATAGTTCCATGGCCTCATCTTCAGCAGAATGCATATGATTTCTTTAGTGTGTAGACTGCATAAGCTATGCATTTTAAACAACAAAAAGAAAGACTTCTCTGGTTGGAAGGGCTGTTGCTAGCTATTACCAGCACCCTAGTTTCTATTCCAGACTAAGTTCTTTCAAACTTCATTATTTAGAAGGCTTTTCTCTCAATACCTCTCCTAGAATAACTATAAAAAGATTCACAGTGACACAGTTTCCTCTGCACTCTCCGAGAACTACCTAACATTTTTCCAGATCAACAACAGAGATTACCAAGTTTCAAAGAGTTTCAGATGGTCTCCAGGATAAAATTCCAAGAATGTTGTTATTTACAGGCATTGAGGTCATCTTTGTATCCCTCTCCTTTAAACAGGCAAAGGAAAAACCTACTGTGATACCTCTGTATGGAAAACCTGTGTCCAAAATTCTGGCAATAATTTTAAGTAGCTAAGCTGGTATGTTGTCATGGAGAAGAAAGGCAGCAAATTTTAGTGTCCCTCAGCATTATTATAATAGAAGTGAACTCTGAATAGAAGTGAATTCTGTGAACTTGATTAAAAAACATCGGTGGGTCAAGACATACGTGCATGTTTTTGCATGCCATTGCATTTGATTCTGTTTTGCTGATAAAATATAACCTCACTCCTGCTATCCTTAGATGTAACAGACAAATTAGGAGGGGAATTTAGTGTGCTCAGCATAAGGACAATCAAAATTCCAATAATTAAAATAACTTTCATCAATCTTGAAATTTTGTTTGTGAATTCGCTTATAATTTCAATTTCAAAAAATATTTCCAACATACATTTGCATTTCCAGTAGAGTTTTTATGTCCACATGCCTGAATATGTTCTGTTAATATTGTCCTGTATTTCTTAAAATGACATCTGAAAAAGTTACTCATTAGCGCTTTCCAAAGACAGAACTTGATCAGAAGAGTTGGAACAACTCCCAGGGTATCTTCAGTACTCCCATGCTCAAGATTTCTAAACACTTTCTCTAAATATAGAGTAGACTTGGGTCAGCAGTTAAGTCTTCAGTCTTAGTAAGGTCCTGCAGATATTGCCTGTTAACTTTATACCTGAGCACTTCACACTTCAAATCAAGTGAAGCCCCACCTTCCCAAGCCCCACAGAGTTTGCAGACTTTCAAGAAAAATCCATAATAAGAGAAATAAGGTTTGGGAGCATGCAGATGAATATTGCTAAAGTAGGCAAAATAAAAGTCTTATATCAATATTTAATTAATCTGACAATGCCATGTATAGTTCAAAACAACAGCCCCACCATCTATGAGCTATGCGGGTTGTACAGTACTGAACTGTCATTTTCAAGTTGTGATTTATGATGTTTACAAAGCACCAAGGCCATAAAGGCCATCATCCCTCCAAGCAGCTCTTCTTTAAAGCTCCCTCTAAAGCATTCATAACCGAACAGAGCGAGCAGCTGCACCGTGTTGTGTGTTATGTTCAGCTGCACACTTCTCTTTGCTCTCGTACCCAGCAGACTCGCCTGACGCTGAGCTGCCTCCTTTCGTCTCCACAGCTCCAGCTACCAGAGCTGTGCGGAGCGCCAGGAACTGCTTGGTTTTCTGAGTGTGATACAGCATCAGGCTGGCTGCGGGAGGCCTGACCCTGCCTGTAACCCAAGCTTCAGCTGCCGTGCTTGTCCCTGCCAAAAGCAGAAGCTGTGGATGAGCGACTTGATGAGAATTTGTGCTGCAAGTTGTTCAGTGAAGTCAAGAAAGGCTGCAGCTGGGGGTGGGCTGTCAGTG